ATCTTTCGCATCCGAGTCCTATTCGACTTCCCAGGCTTTATCGGGATTGTTGTCCTGGGCCGATAGGTCGAAAGCCTCTGCATCGCCTCGTCGGCCTCGTGCCCGTCCGCATTCCTGTGGCGGTCCAACCCTATCGGGTAATCGTCGAAAGTTCGTGATGCGATGGTGTGAGCGACTAAATCTTGCCGGGCACCATTCGAATTTCCTCGGGTTGATAAAGGCTTGACCCCGCTCGCCGCAGAGCGGACCATGCGTGCAATGAAGACCAGAGTCGTTGGGAACTGTCGACATTAACCTTGACCAACCTTTAACTATTAATCAGAGTTCGGAGACATAGCTGATTTCGAAAAAGTACTATATACTGGAATAGAAAGCCGCATCGATTTGCCACTAGCGCTCCCCGCCAAGAAGATCACGAGGACTGTAGACCACCTCGCGTAGACCAGATATAAGATGTATGATCAAAAGAGCTGCAACCCGACTCGGGAGGACAGGAGCAAGAGCCATATTGTATCTATTGCATATCTTCGAAGTGACATAGCGATGGATATTGCAGTTTGTTTGGCAGTTCAGCTCAAATGTCTATGCGATCCAGCTTGAGTAGTATCTGGTCGAATGGCTCGACAGTGAACCGCTTGAATATCGGCTGTTGCAAGGGCGTTGGAATGTACCGTCAGCAGTGATAATCCTGCCTAATGGCAGCCAAAGAATTAGAATTTCCTTCACTCTTGGGATTCGAGTTCGCATGATCTCTTTGCGACCGCAAACCCGCCAGACCGATCGGCAATGAGCATAGCTCCTCGCCTTCGGCGGAACCGGTTTAGCGCCACTCCAATCGGGATTTGCTCAGAGGGAATGGCCGCGCTCACCCTGTTTGGTATAGATGGGATCCGCCAGAAAAAGCCACGAATGCCATCTCTTTTGCACTCAAATTGTTAAGTCACGTCCGATAACAACTCAAACAGCTTCTGGGGCGATTCAAAAACAAAGATATCATGTCTAACTCGAGTACTCAGCCTTAACCCGACGACAACTGTCTTCCGCCCCCTTCCGAGCGATCAGTCCGTCCGCACCCAAGATCGCGAAGCACAAGGCCACATCCGATTTGTGAGACATCAACCCTCGAAAAAGAGAGAGAGACCAATGGAGACTGGCAGGGAGTCTCGGGTCTACTCATTGAACAAAGGGTGTCGGATACGTTGTCTGAGAACACAAGCCGTTAATCTTGAGACTTGACTCCTGATTTGAGGCGGCCGTGCCCACAAGCTATTTCAAGACAGTTGATGAGTTTTGACAGGCGCTGCCATGGATATGATGATTTAAGTGCAAGTGATACCCTCGAAGTGAAAAAAAGAAGGACCAACTGGACATTGTCAGCATCAGAATATGAGCCCTTCACTCGGTATAGCAATGAGTGGACTTCCTTTGTTAAGCTGCAAAACATTCGACTAAAACTAGTAAAGGGAATTTGTAGAACTCGGTTTTCCCCTGCGATGCACTCGAGCCACGAGTGGCTCAAGACGACGTGGCATCGTTGATTCAACAGACACTGCGCAAAGTTGACGGGGCTTTGATACCTTAAAATGGCAGTACAAGGCCTTTGGTTCGGCACTATGCCTCGCGCCAGACAAATTTCAATTCTCGTAAACGTGGGCAATTTAGGCCTCCCTAAAGATGGCTTCGAGGCTGGAGTCATTGCATTGCCGCAAACCTGCTATGCCTATATCAGGTTCAAGCACGGAAGACCTTTGGCATATTTGGTGATGGGCATGGCGATTGATAAAAGTGAATGTTCTCATAAGCGACCAGGGGCATTTTGGGGCATGATATGCAATTTATCAGACTGGAAGATCAGGTTAGGAGAGCTACGACCGGGCGCAGAATCCAGTTGAAGCTGATATGATTCACAGTTACATCATAAGAGGGCCGTGGCACTCAATAGCACCATTGCCAGAATCGACTTCAAACCAGCAAGATCATGACCAGGACCTGGAGATTTACCCCTGTCATAGACAACTTTTGAGCGTTTTAGCGATCGTCTGAGCTCTGGCCTGCCCCCTTCACACCCACAATTGTTGAATTGTTGACCCTGAGTGCTAGGCAGGGTCGCTGTCTTGATTTTCTGGCCATTATATGTCAGGAATTCGTAAGAAGCTGCTATCAATATTAAGCAAATCGAGTGTTGCAAATTCCTTCGCTGTGCGAAGGTGTTAGTCAGTCATCCTGGCATTCTTATATCGAGGCTTCAGGTGTAGGTAGGGATGGATTTTGACAAGTGACCGCGATAGTTGCCTGAACTATGGCAGTTGTTTTATCTCCGAGAAATAATTCGTGCAGCAGAGTTCTCTTACACTTAGAAGGGTGGGAAGAAAGAGCTCAAATGGCGCCAAGGGTTTGAGGCCGTCGAACGGGCATTGAGCTGGGAAAAAGATTCCGTATGCCATCTTTTCGCCCCGCCCCCCAACCCCCTGAGGGGCAACGAGATTCTGGAGACTCCCGCAGTCTTCAGCAAGACAGACCTCGCTGGAGCCTGGGCCACATCCCCCGCAAGTCGCCGTCACTGTTAATTGTCTCAGCAAGGGAGATCGGGGAGAGGTAAGAGGGGTGTTAATCTTCGTGCAACCCTCCAGTCCGAGTCTCCATCCCGACTACATAGAGCCTGCTAGGGAAACCAATGCAATTCTATTGAAAAGGGGGGTTTGAAATCCCACCGTTTATTCCCGACGATATCACTCTTCCTGACTATCTCTCGCCCAGAAACCGGAGTTGGTGGTAGATGACCTCAGGCCCTATGTTTACAGCCATTCTAGGTACCCACTTTAGCACTCCGGAAGCCTACGACCAACACTCCCTCTACAGTCCAGTCTACTTGCCTGCAAGCGTATTTGGTGTGTTTCGGCCCTCAATGAACTTAAGTGTTATCGCGTTCCGGGGTGTCAAATAGATTCGCTGAATCTCTCAAGGAATAGCAGCCTCAGCTCAATATATAAGTCGCCCTAACTAAGGGTTACGAACTGACAATAATCGACTTCTCTAAGATAATAATTGTTACTTCATAAAGCGAAAGTTCAACCCTAGGAGCTCTCATGCAGATATGATGAGGTATAAATCTGCATTAAAATGGTGCAGAGCGCATTTTCCCTGATGCACGGCCGGACCGAGGATCGAGGATAAGCAAGGTGATAGAATGCTTACAATGGGGTATTTTAGAATAATTCAAGAATTATGACGAATCTGACCTTGAATGTACGATGCGTTCCAAAAAGGAAACCAGTCGTTGATCACCGCCTCGAGCTTAGACACATCGGGTGACTCGCCACGGGGTGCTATCTGCTCTTATCGTCCTGAAGCTGCCTCTCCATCTTGGAATGCAAGGATTCCGATGTCTCTGTGCGTTCCCCCTGCGGCGGTCACATTTGGGGCAGGTAAGCGCCGCGAGTCTAGAGACCGTCTCTCCGCATTCGCTGGAGATACGCCGGGATGACCAAAACCCTGACGAGAGGAGGCAGTCTTTGACGAGCTTAACGTGACACCAATGACCCCCATGGATTCACGATGAGACAAGAGGAGATTTTGTTTAATCAGTCAGCGTTGAGCGAGACGAGAGTAAGAGCTGGGGAAGTGGTTAAGGTCCTACCTATTCTGGTCTTCGGGGGACTCGACCCGTATCGAAACCCGATGTAATAACGAAAACAGTTCGCGAGAGCCCGCCGAGAGATAACAAGTAACATCCTGGGGACTATGAAAACTGCAACCCTCAGGGCCTACTATACGCGGTTTAACAGAAAGATTGTGTGGACGTTGAATGTAGATATTCAGCTTGGGGATGTGTCCGCTTCACTAGCTTTGTCGGCTGGCACTTGCTGGCCTATCGTTCTTTCATTTAGTAGAAAAAAGAGGATAGCTTCGGGGCAGCTGCGGAAGGAAGACCACTCGTAGTATATACTCTCTTTCGCTTCTCCAAACCCTGCTACTCCGCTCCCGTAATACTGGGATGGTTTCGCCGGCTTGCTGACCGCAGTCTCGGGCGCCTGTAGCCACATTCCAGAGAACCCGAGGGCCATGGTTGACGGCCTCCTCCACCCATTACATGCATCCTGCCATAATTTCGCGATTCCTTGTTTTGGTATCCACCCGTCAGTTATTTTCGCTTTCGGGTATGTGGGGGGGGGGGGGGGGGGGGGGACCAGAAGGCTTACTGGCATTCATTTGTGAATAAAAGGTTGGCTCAAGCGGATAGCGGGGCGTCACGATCCCTCGCTTCTTGCTACACGACTAGGTGCTGCACGGCATCCTGGATATGACGAGGCGTGGGTGTGGGTTGGCTAGTTGTCTCCCTATCCACCGTTTGTTAGTAGGGTAGGTAGCGAGGGAGGCTTTGAATTTGGCCGCGCCAATAACTACTGTACAGTAGGTACAGAAGTCTTCCCGTTTCATTGTTGCCCAACCAACCGGAGGTACACTGGGCAGATGGTGGGGCGACTCGAGGGCTTATGATTGAGTGATCACTAAGATGGGCGGATGCCTCCGGTACCAAAATGGGTTAGCCTAGCCACACTATTTTCGTGGTTTCGGTCGGGGGCACATAAACAAAAAAAATAATCCCATATCATCGAGCAATTCAGGAATAGGCAGCTCCCATCCTTGCCCTCGAGTATTTCGAGTGCTCTTAGCTTTTCCCAAGTGGATGCGCGCCGTCTTAGTCCTGGTAAGCATTTCGTTTTTTTGAGTCTTGGACACGCTCTCACCTCTTAAAACCGGCCAGGGTCCCTTTACTCTACCTTGAACGCTGTATCATTCACAACCACCCCGGTCGCAGGATTGCCATCTCCCTGTCTTCTCATGACCTCGAAGAAGCTGCCAGTGCTTAGGATGATCGGCAATGAATCTTTCCTCCAGTTCATTGCCTGACCTAGCTCACGAGTTTCGCTCTGAACCAGTTACGCCCTTCCACCCGTCGGCCCAAATCCACCCTCTTCGTCGACAGTCACCTATCCCCTATGCCTACTCAACTTTCGGCTGAAGTGCCATCGCTTGTCTTGAAACACCCACCCGCGCTACGATCTCTTGTTAAGTTTCGACAGGAATTCGACCAATGCAGAAGCAAAGCAGCCAAGTACGATCTCTGCCGAAAATATGCGGAACACTATCTGAGCCTTTCTGAAACCGTCGACAACGAGGTACGGATCTGGTTTGAAACCTTGGGCGCCTTTGCGCGGAGTCCTGCTTTCATCAAATTCCAGCGACAGGATTCGCAGCTCTGGGGGCAAATCAAGAAGATAGTCACGAGGACTACAGAAAAACAAAAAGAGCAAGCATGGGAAACGGTTCGGAAAACGTTCGGCGAGCCAAACGTGCAGCGCCTTCAAGAAATCGGCAACGGAGCGACCTTTGCGAAGAAATGCGCTGGTCTAGCGGCTCGAAATCCAAGCATAACATGGGATGATTTTTGTATTGGAGCGAATCGAGCGGCCTTTGAGCGGATTCAGGGCTCTCGGTCGGGGCAAACTAAAACCCCCACTGTCATCACCAGTGATATTACCCATGGAATGAAAGCGATGGATTCACTGCCTCTTCAACACCAGGATTTGAGAAAGATCAGGGCTAGAATCGATGACCACGGTCTTCTTGCAGTTGCGCGATCCATGGATGGGTACAGCAGTGAGAGAGGCCAGCAGACACACGGTGCGAATGGAGATTGTTATCCTGTCACTAGGAGGCAGCAAAAGGCCCGCAACCTTCCAGAGCAGAGACCTCCACAGGAAGTGGGCTTGAAGTGCCAGCCAAAACAGACATCTCAGTACAGACCGAGGCGTTGTGAATGTAAGGGGTTCGCGGATAATGCCACAAAAATTCTCAACGCCATCCGGGACAGCCGTGACCTCAGCCCGACAGACATCTCCATGATTTTTGATTCCTTACAAAATACACCTAAACCGGAAATGTGCCAGAATCATGAAAGGTGGTTTGCCTCAATGATTGGACTCAATACGGTCCACCGACGGGATGTCCTGTCAAATCGCATTGAGAAATGCGCGGACGCGGGTTCCAATTGGGTCAGCCTCAAGCACTCCGTTACCAGCTGGGAATGGTTTAATGATGGAATCAACCCAGATGAAATTTACGCCTTTCGTCCGGCTAACCCAATCAGTCTCGAGTTTGACCCAAGAAAGATTACTCCAGATCGCATCCGTCAGCTTCTCGGCGATATCGATGACTTTAGTCGGGAGCATCTGTTGGCCGAGGGTCATACGGTCACCGTTCAGACCTTCCACAAATACATCAAATCTGACTCACCATGCTTGAGCTCCATTCGTGATATTGCCCGGCAGGAGCTTGATCTCTACCGCTTTCATGGCAACGTCGATGATTCTAATTACTCGGGAGAACTGCACGCCATGTACCATTCGATCACACAACAAGTTCTACGGATGGATATATGTGCATGGCTTTTGCACATGTTGAGTCGAGGTTGTAAGAGTCACAAACTGATGGCCTATCCCACCCCAGCATGGTATCTCCCCAATCGACGTCGACCCATTGAAATCTGGCTCCACCACCCACCAAACGAATACTACGATGATCAAAACCGCGAGAACCACGAATGTCACCTCGGATATCTGTTTCTAGAGGGTACGCAGGCACAAAGGCGCGGTACTTGGAAAGAATTCTCCAATATTTCCAAGTCGAGAGAATGGTGGGTGAAAACGGCAGCAGATCATCGTCTCGATCACCACCGCAGCGAGCAACGTATTGCTGATATGGATCTTGAACATTTTATGGGCCATTCTGATCGAGTGGACCCCCAATGGTTTGGGCATCAGCCCGGTACCTATGCCGTTGTTCATGCTGCGACCCCTGAGGTGATTGGGGCGATTGCCCCAGATGACGGCTACGAAGGCCCCGCATTTGTTGTACCAAACGTTTACGTTACGTGCGATACAAATACCCCCGAGGTTTCCGGAGCATGCGCCGTGGATCAACTGCGAAATCATCTGATTAACATGACAGTGCCAAGAAAGACACCTTATGGCAAATTCGTGGCCTGCGCAGAAAACGAAGCGGCATGGCCAGTTACTTACAGGTTGAGAACTGTATCCGAAATAGCAGGGGCTCTTACGGGTGAAATTTCCTGGGATCATCCCGCTGTCTTGCTAGAACTCAAGACTTTATTCGAGGGAGATGTCGACACTGCGCAACAGCGAATTAGGGATTGGGAGCAAGAAATGCTTCAGCAAGCAAGGAAGGCGCTGGCAATCGTTCAAGAACGGGAGCATGAGTTATATGACATTAACTCATACACGTTTCGAGTGCGGGCCGCGAAGAATGGCACACAGGCGCATTCTCTCCCAAACGAAAGCCATTCAGATCCAACACTAGCGCCAGTCTCAAGTCAGAATTCGTCACACATATGTGTTTCTCCCGGTCCGCCGAATACCCCGAAGCAAGGAACTGTCCAAACCGGGATAGCGTCCCAGTTCGATCCTCTTTTCAGTCAGCAGAATTCGGGTCCAACCTCTTCGCTAAGCCGCATCACCCCGTTCAGTGAAGTAGACGACAAAAGTGAGGCACCTTCGATACATCCAGATGTTTTTGAAATACTACGGGGTGGTATAGAACTCACTGGCCCAATCCCAAGTTCGCTTATGGTGGAGAATAATACAAAAACAAAACGCAAAGGAGAGTTTTCACCGAATTCCAGGCCGGCTAAACGACTCTGTTGAGCCATACACATGCTTTGTACTCGTCAAAAGTGTTTCTAGGTCCTATTTGAAATCCTTATGCATAGATTACCAGGAGATGACACAGCTTGCAAATCGGAGCTAAATTTTTATTCTTATATTGAGAAAAAAGAGCTTCATTTACGCGTAAGCTACGTTTATTCTGCGATGATATGAGCGAGAGTATTCATTAAGCCAGGAAAGGTGAATGTGAAGCTCACAGATGCCATATCCTAATTCGTGATTGCCAACCATTTCAGGTTCCCTTCGGTCGAGCGTAATTTGGAGCAGATTCGATATCTAATGGACATGTTGCACTGGGACCGACCTCTTATATGTACAAACTTTCATCGGTGATAGTTAAATCGTCATCCGCCTTCTCATCAACCAAGGCTCAAGTTGAGTTAAAAAGAAAAATCAAGTGCCCGACGTAATATCTACACAGAGGAATTGGATGGCGTATTCAGCAAAAATCTTTAGTCAACAGTTTGATCAATAACTAGCCAAATATAAAAATTTAGTAGATCTGAAGTAAGTAGAATAAGAATGGAATTAAAACACTCTCTCTTAGTCGGGAAAGGCAATCGTTTAACAGTGGCGATGAACGGCGTGCAGTTTCATGGTCGAAATCTTAGAGAAGAGTCAGGACTAAGATATGTTATACTGTTGTCTCTAATTCATATAAATATTGTCTCAGGGGCAGAATATAATATAGTGGTGCAAAGACACAATATTTAAGCTTTAGGACTGTCATAGTACGACTGCCTATCACGCTGGATAACTACTAAATTCTGAAGAATTTGATCCCTAGTGTTTAAGAACCCGCAAAGCGGCTACTGTTGGTGGGCGAGCATCGTTCATATGTCATGGATAATTTCTTCCAAATTTGTCTAAATTATCCGATTCTTCTAGTGTGCTTTACTTTTCCTACAGATAAGACATTTCAGCCAGGCTTTCGAAGGCCCCGCGTTTTAAGTATATGCGTCCTATTTTCGAAGCAAAAACAGTCGTGTAGTGGGGTGGTTCTTGTTGGATTGGGAAGTCAGGTTACACTCCAAATTTCGAGTAAATTATAAAATTTTAAATCCGAATATCTTAACAACAATAAGTAATATCTTTGTAAAACTTATAAATATAATACATAATCGTTCAAATTATATATATCTTTTCTTTTTTGGTAATAAAATTATAATATATAAGAGATTATTCGGGTTTAAGTAAAACCTCTAAAATCCGACTGATTAATTTTAAGTTCTAATGTTTCTCTAAATTTGTGAAGAAATATATATAAAAAGTAATTTTTTGAAAGAGAATTAGTTAAACTATATAGTCGATAAAGTATCTTCTAAAATATACCTATATTTATAAAACGGTAGTTCTTCAAAATAAAAGATACGAAATTAAACGAAATTTATCGAAAATTTTGGTGTTCCCTTACAAACATTAGATTTTCTTAACTTTACTCATCTTTGACAGCGTACAGCTCTTGAAGAAAAAGTCTAGACACAAAGTATTATATATAAAAAATAGTATATTATATAAATTTGTTGAGATATTTATAATCAAAATCATCGAGTTTTGCGGGGAATATAGTGAGTGTAACCAGTCTTTTGGACGGGTAGCGTACAACGATAGGAGTGGGGCGACTCGAGGGCATGGCCAATTTTTCTATCCCTTCGTGACATCTGGATCTCTTGAGCGAACTGTATAATATGCGTGCTTCATCTTGCCGGGTTCCATAATCGGCAGCCTCTTGGCTCACTTCGTAAAATAATTCCTTTTTCAAAAACTCCCGGTGGCTTCGTAGGTCAAGTTCTGCTTCCCTTCTAATCTGCACAGCATTTGGTAAGTCTAGCTGCGATAGCTACCTATATATACTAACCTTTGTTGCACTTACGGGGAACCCTCTGTCCAAGTTATACTCACAGCCAACACACCTGCCTGGTCCTTGAAATGCTAACTTTTCGAAATGTCGAGTAGTATTCCTTAAGATAACATTGCATCCGTAGCAGTTAAAGATATAGTTTTCACGTCGACAGTGTGTTATCGCTGATTCTTCATTGTGTGTCATTTTTAGAGAAGGGCGTTCGTGAAGTTGATCGTTTTTGTATAAAATTTTTTTCTGCGCCTAACCTCGCCACTTTTCTGCCTTTCTTAGTTTAAATATCTGTCCCTCCCCTTCGAACATCACGTGGTATATACCCACCCTTTTGAAGGTTTAGTATAAGAAAGGGTTAGCTAATATCTTCTTTCGCCTATATATACCTACTATAAAATGTAATTTTTACCTCAAAGTCTTAAATTAATAAACTAATATATTATATATTCTAAATACATTATTACTACATAATATTCTTTTTGTAAAGTATAAGAATTACAACTATAACTTACATCAGAACGAAAACAGTGTTTAATAACAGTATATTATCCTAATAACTAAGCAGCTTTATGATCAGAATTATGTAAAAGTTGGGTCGAATTGGGTCGAATTGGGTTTTATTGGGGCCCCAGTACTGGGTCCGGGTTGGGTCCGGGTTGGGTTTTGGGTGTTACGACCCCTGCAGCCGCCAAACCAACTAAGGAAATACAACTCACCGATGGGCCACCGAGAGCCAACCAGATGAAACAGTCACGTGAAACGAAAAGGGAAATCAGAAGGAACGAACAGCACGTGACTAGAGTGGGTATGCAACCAGTCAGTCTTGGCAGTATATTCGGAGTATGGCATATACTCGTTATCTACCAAACCGTCTACCAGACCACCTACCACCATGAAGGAACGGATATATAAGGACACTCATTTACCGACATGTATCTAGTTCTTCGTGATCAATCTTCATACCATTGTTACTTGAGTACCATTCACAGTCTCGACTATAAAGCCAAAAACCTCAACGATCTTGGGAGCTCACTTAGCGATCTCTGATCCCTAAGTGACTGACTTGATCGGCGCCCTAACTGTCACACCCTGCAAGTACCCTAGAGACCCGAGTCCATCTAAGGCCCTGCGCGGCATTGGTACGGTTGCGGACTATACTTGGGGCCCGCAGTATTCCAAGAGAAGTATCGCCCTTTGAGGACCCTACTCACCGTGACCAGTTAGCGGTTCGTAACATTGGGTCGAGATCTTCGACCCAAGTTGGGTTATGCGGAAGTCTAATATTTTCCTACTAACACTATATATTAGTATCGTTATAGTGGTAGGGTACAGGTATAAAAGATAGATAGTTTTGTATTTTTAAGCTAGTAGTAGTGTAAGTGTCCTCTCTACTATTTAGTATAGTCATCTTTTTAGGAATAGGGAGGAATACGGGTATAGTACTCTTAGCTATCTATCTTAGGTTTCTATATCTAGAGTTTACCGTTTACTAGCGGTGACTAGTATAAACTATTCTTAGTCCTTCAGCGTATCTTCAAAATCAATATATAAAAGTGAGACCTATATAACTTCCTACAAAATAATCATTATCTATCACTTGCTTAAAGTAAGACTTAGTAGGCTAGACGACTAGGTTAGATAGCCAGAACTCCCCAAAGACTCGATTTGTCCGGCCTCCTTACTAGCGACCATCCTCTAATATATAGATAGAGCAAGGGCTAGATATAGGGTCCACTCCGAATACAAAATATTATTAATTTAAGGATCTTAAAGAATAAAGCAAACTAGTACGAGATTAGATAACGAGAGGGGTATTATTTATAATCTAGCTTATACTATAAATTGTATAGGCCTCGCTTCCTAGAACAGCGGCCACTTATATCTTCTCTAACATTAAACCTATATAGTGGAAATAGCCTTAAGCGCTCTGCTGTTTTGTACCAATATAACGAGCGTACTACCGAAGGAAGGCATAAAAATAGAACCCTTGGTTAGAATTGTTTCTATAACTTAGCCAAGCTTTCTTAATATAAGCCTTTAGCTCGGCGAAAAACTCCTCTATAGTATTAAAACCTAAAGAGTAAGATAGGAGATACAGCAACATAACACCAATATCAGAGCACAACTGTTTAACTCTGTCCTAATAATAGAAGGATACATTATCTATAACAAACACGGACTTTGGCTCCGGCCATCTTCCACAGTATCAAAGGAGCTACTCAATAAACGATTCGAACAGCACGGCATCCGTTGAACCTTTAAAAATATGAGATAGAAGGATACCACCTTAAGTATATGCTGGCAGTATCTGATAACGCTGGCCTCGATGGAATTTAGACACCTGCACTGGTGTCACACCTAGTAGTGACCAACCAGTTCGCCTATGTCCTACCCTTTTATCACATCCGGATTCGTCGACGAAAATAAGGTGGTACGATCGAAATTCAGATAGTTTGTGCTGGTAGACATCTCATAATTGAGGATTCTGTTCGTTGGCTTTCTTCCGGGCTGTTTTTTTGGTCCAGCCAGCCCGAGAAAGAACACACTAGATGCTGGATGACGACGATAAGATATTGAACTTTTCCCGTAGGAAATTAGCCATCTCGTCGACATACAAGCCGGGTGTTTCAGCGAGGCGATCACAAAGGGCGTCTAGCATTATAGGAGTAACGCTTAGTAGCTAGCCAGGAGGGATTGTGGGAGGTTAGGGCTGCCGAACAACCGCATCCTCTTGCGTACGTTAGTGATAGAACGCTCACTACATTTTGCAAGCTTGGCCATTTGTGATGTAGTGAGTCTGTTCTTGCTGCTTATCATGTGCACAATCATCTTGCGCTGCCTAGGTATTCAGGTTTCGTGCTATTTTGTAACGGCATGGGGGTTGATCCTTGTCGGAGTTGGGACGCTTGAGTTAGGACGATATGGCGGGCGTTATTTTTGGATCAGTAATAATATATCATATTACAGTACTCGCCCGTTTGTATTTTACCGTTCAAAACAGAAACTTGATCCATAGTACGGAAGTTAACCCGATTTGGGGATCCAAGATCATGTGATTTGGGTTTGAAAGACTACCTATATATACTAAAGCTGATGTCGGGCGCTTCTGTACATGCAAAATCTA